CATGGATTCCATTTCTTTCTTATGTTGAGTGATCATGGCTTCCAGCGTGTTTCTGATCTCATCTATTTTTTTATCTGTTTCTCTTCTAGAGCCTCTAATCATGTCTTTCACTCTGCTCACCATGTCTGTATTTATCTGGGAGATTATTTCTGGTTTGAATTTTTGTAGAGCCTCATGCATCTGCTTTGCTACTTCCTGTGCTATCAGTTCAGGGTGTCCAAGTGGTTGCTTATCAGACTTTTCCACCTCATTTCCCCCAGAATTTCCTTTTTGTGGTGTGGAAGCCTGCATTTGTGCCTTCCTTAAGTGTCGTCTCATTTTTATTTTTGGTACTGTCCTTGGTTTAGTGCCTGGGTTGATATTTCATAATTGTTTAATGTAGGTATCTTTGTTGCTGGTGTTTAAAACCCTTGTGGAATGATTGCTTTTCAGAGGTGTCTTCCAGATATAGCTTGTGTTTGGGTTTTCAGACTCTAATGACTCTGAGGCTATTTTATTTTTCTTATACCAGGAAGGAAAACTAATTAGATCAATCACACATGTTAGCCCAAATGACACAGTCAGCAGTACCATAGCATCAAGTGCAGCTTACAAAATGACAATTTGCGGTAGTTATTAATCTATCACATTTAACTATGTGAGTTAAATTAAAACTGAGGACCAACCCAACATAATTTTATAATGAATAAACTCTTCAATATAGCATCTTTCCCCTTCAGGGTGGGGAGTTAAAAGGAGTTGGGGAGGGAGGGACAGGTAGAAAGATCAGGAAAGATTAACAGTGATGCCAGAAGACACAGGAAGATTACACAAACTCTAAGAAGTTGTTAAAGGCAAGAGGAAAAGGCAGAATGAAAGAACAAAGATGTGAATAGAATCACCTAACAGCAACAGGGAGGCTAGATACCATATTTACTTTCCTTTAAACCTGATAATCAAGGGAAGGAAAAAGACAAGAAAAGAAAAATAAAGGAGAAATCCGAATTCAGTGCAGAAAGGAACAAATGGGGAGATGAAGAGCAATGTGGGACAGCAAGAGAACGAGTGAGAGAGAGGGAGAGAGAAAGAAAAGATAAAAGAAAGAAAAACAAAAGTAAAAATTTGAAAGGTAGAAAAAAGTAAAAATTAAGAAAAAAAATAAGAGAAAAAAATGTTTTCTTTTTTGCAAATAGCAAAAAATAAAAATTATGGGCCTCCTTCAGAGTACGTCTCTGTGGTCACAGTAGGCAACATAGGCATCCGTGTGCATATAGGAGTCAATGAGTCTCAGCAAGCCAGCAGCAGACCACGTACAGCGGTCTGATGTGCCTTTATTGTAGAGATTCTCTTTACTTTTCCACTGAGCTTCAGTTTTGATCAAGGAGCCTGAGAAGCCCTCTTTCTGTTATTAACTTCTGCTCTGTCTTGTGGCACTCAGGACAAGAGTCTTTATAATCCTCTGTGCCTCTGTAGTGTGGGACCAGGTAGCAGAAAAGCCAGAAGGCCAGAGGCACGGCGGGGGGGAGGGGGGGGGGGCTTGGCTAGGCGGACCTCACCGTGG